TGTCCTATTTATATGTTTCGAATTTAATAAAATAGACTATTGCCTTGGCCCGAGTGATGTCATTTTTTTGCTCTTTGTGACGAAGAAGACGCAAAATCCAACTTAATTGAATTTTTATTCTCGTGTAGAACAGTATGTGTGTTTTGTAACACGAAAAGCAAAAGGCTCACATTGCGTTCTCAGTTATATATAAGCTTGTTTAAAATAAATAATAAAAAAACCAACAAAACCAGTCTAATTAAAGAATGTCCCAAAAAGTAAATCAGAGTTTCACGGAAATGAACTGATTTCTTAAGAATAAGAATAGGACATGGACAAGGATATGACAATGATATGACAATGACATAGGCAATGATAATGGATTTATCATTAGGATAAAATAATTTTTTGGAACAAATTTTTTACTTTCGTTGGGTGTTTGATTTAAAAAAATGAATCAAAAATTCTGATTGAAATTGGTTCCTTTGATTTCTTGTAGATCAAATCAAATTGAATAATATTATTGAATCTTTCTTTATGATTCAATTAAATAAATGCCTGTTACTTTTTTTTTAATGTATAAAGTGTAAACTAACATTGTTACAAATTTTTGTAGAATTTGTTTAGTTTAGAACTAAGAAAATTCAGGATTTAATTTATTTTTATCACTATTATTTGTTTGAAAATTTCAAAGAGAAAACACGGCCTTTGATTATCATAATTAAAGCAACATCTAATTTTTTGCTGATAAAGTTCAATAAGTAGTATGACTATTTTAGATATAGAATGAGCTTTTTTATTAAGACAATTTTTATACGAATTATGGTATAACGAATTATTATGGTATAATTATGGGCATTAGCATACTATAAAGCAAAACCGTCATTTTTAATTTTTTTGGCGTAACTTCCAATTTCTTAAATTCAAACCATTTGTTAACGAAACAACTGTTGGTGAAGTGATTGTTGACAAATTCATGATTTTGATTGGTCAATCAACAATTTTGTTACCTGTTCTTATTCCTTCGCTCAAACAAACAATTGTTTTTTTATGTGTCAATAATTAGTAAACGTTCTGGTCCTGGGGTACTTCTTGTTATCAATCGATAATCATTTGTGATAATATTCGTAACAAATGTTTGAAATTATTACGAGTATCCAAAATAATTACGAGTAACCAAAATAATTACGAGTATTCATAATAATTACGAGTATCCATAATAATTACGAAATAAATTATATATATTCGAATTTCCTTGAATAAATTGATTTTCGAATATTCGTAAAAAATTTGATTTTCGATTAGGAACACTACTGGAATATAAGCAACACAATTTTAACATGTTTTAGTCAACAAAACTGTATATGTGCTTATATTCGAGATATTTTGTTTGTTTCTTTATCATCTGTGTTGAGTTCTAATTCATTTTCGTTTAATCTTTTCGTCGTACTTTCTTTTAGCACATTGACATTTTTTTTGATTTCGACTTGAAGATAGTCCAAGATATCTAACATTTAGATTGGCACCTTTATAGACAATGATTGTGGTAACCATGTCTACACGTGAGTATATACACTACAATTATTCAAATTAGTATAGTTCATGTAATCACAATATACGTAATTGCAAAAAATGGTTTCCTAGAAGTAACAAAACCTCTTGGAAGATGACGATTGGTTATTTCGTAAACTAGCGAAGACAATTAACACCATTAGATAAAGTTTAGTAATTAAAGGATACTGATTTTGTGCTTAATCTAGTTGTCTCTGGACGTGAATGCTATGATAATCGTCAACATTCGACATGAATGCACTTTTTTGAATGTTTTGTAAGTGCATTCTCTACATATTTCTCATGTTCATCAGCAACTTGATTCTATTTACGATCTATTGCTCTTGATGTTGTGGTTGTTCCAAGACTTGTACCTACCAAATCTAAATAGAATGCAAGGTTGAACTTAAAAGAGTTAATTTTTGTATTATTTAATTAGGCAAGAAGATAACATATGATAACCACCATTAATCTCTTCATATGGCCGAGCTGCTAAATAGAGTTGGTCAAAAAACCCTTTAAGGTTGGTTCTATTTCTTGGAGCAATCTTCGTAAATACCTACTTGCAATAATAGCTTCTTGCTTCTTACCAAAATACAAACCTTCAGAATCATGAAACGTGATAATTTTGCTCGTGTAATCTGCTACTGATATCTCCACGTCTTTTTTTTAATTCTCAACTTCTTTCGAAAAGCATTGTACACTTGGCATGAAATCTTAAACATGATCATTATCATCATCTATTTTTGATAACTTCATAACCTCTTCGGAAAATGTCATTGCCAACGGCAAGAATTTTTCAGGCTCCTTCAGACCATTGATGTGTATGTCGAATTTGATTGCTTGGTGAACTAATAACTAATAGATAATATGAGAGAGGATATAATTAATTCATTCAAATATTATCATTAACGATTGACTACTTGCAGCAAAAAACCTACTTTAATTTTGGCATAAAAAAAAGATCCCACGAACGAATATACACAACTTTTAATTATATCATGAAATAAATATTCATTAAACATCTTGAATTCTAAACAACCAAATTCTATCTCATTTGACCGAAACATCACCTTGCCGGTGACTTTCTCATTAGTTTTTATGACGATTTTTACCAATCTGATCATAAATACTTTGCTGTCAGTGTGGGTTTTTTTGATATATATCATTTTTTAAATAGAACATGGGTATCATGTACCATTATATAAGGCTCGTCAGCATTTCAAAAGGTATTATGAAAGGATTTTTTTTTAATAAACTTTTTATGTATTGTACAATGCATGTAAACATGGATGCTAATAGGTTTTTCTGATAGCATGGGCGTCATGTACCATTGTGTAAAGGTAATTATTAGACATTCCAAAAGACATTACAAAAGGATTTTTCTTTAATGATTTTTTTTATGCATTGTACAATGTGCGTAACAAATGATGGACAACGTTAATATTAATAATTAGTTAATTTAGTATGTTTTTTTTGACATTTTGATTCAATAGAGAAATACAACAGTCAGCGATCAAATTAATTTCAATTATAAACATTTTGACATTCAATCTGTGGCGTTTGTCTTTTATTTAACGTCTTTATTTTTCATATAAATCTACTAATTTAACTTCGATACAAACTTGGGAATTAACACTATATTGAGCTTTTCTAAACTCGGGATAAATGAAAATACTCTTTTCTGGCTGTGATACAAAATAATGATCAATATTATAAGGTTTTAATAATTTTGTTGTTTGTATTATACATGGCATTTTATCATCATATCATAGCAATTCAATATATAGATTAATATTGGATATTTACCATGGTAATTATTTTCAATTCTTTTTTATCATGGTAATAACTAGACAGAAAGTCCCAAATCTAAATCATTTTTTGATGACGTCACTATACTGATATATATAAAATCCATAATTTTTGATCGTTTGTTATTTCAACTTCGTCATATTTCGTCAAATGTGACAAAATTAACTATTTAACGAAATAATTCCCGCCTTGCAAAGTATTTCGTTGACTATTCTTATAAGAATCTACAATAAGCAGGTTCACAATATAATTTTAATAAATATTTAATAATAATAAAATATTACCCTCCAACCTAAAAATTTAGTGACACTGTTATCTCAAGTTTACATATTGATTAGTGTTGGTTTCCAAAACTATAGAATTTTGTAACTGTGCGAAAGTCAAAAGGTTTCACCATAAGTCGAAACTAGTTTTGACTTTTGACTTTGGATTTTTGATTTA